TGCCCTGCTGCTGCCCTGCTGCTGCCCTGCTGCTGCCCTGCTGCTGCCCTGCTGCTGCCCTGCTGCTGCCCTGCTGCTGCCCTGCTGCTGCCCCTGCTGCTGCCCTGCTGCTGCCCTGCTGCTGCCCTGCTGCTGCCCTGCTGCTTCCCTGCTGCTTCCCTGCTGCTTCCCTGCTGCTTCCCTGCTGCTTCCCTGCTGCTTCCCTGCTGCTTCCCTGCTGCTGCCCTTCTGATGCTGCCTGCTGCTCGTGCCCTGCTGGTCCACCCCAGCAGGACAACGTCGGGAAGGTTGTCAAAAAGGAAAAAACGAGAGCCAGCATGGGCAAAATTACTGTACGGCATGTTTATATATTTTGTGGTTTTCGATGTAATCATGCGCACTATTGGTGTAGTGGTAACATGAAACCCTTCCAAGGTTTAGCTTCGGGTTCGATTCCCGGATGGTGCATCATTTTGCCGGTGACAACGTTTTTGTTCATTTTTACAATCATCTCTCTGTCTCCTTTTTTGCCTCTGCTATCATTTTATCCTTTTTGACAACCTTCCTCTTGAAGGTGTGGGAATTGAAGGACACTTTTTTTTGTTTGCAAGCTTTGCCAAACCGGATGTTACCACTACACCAATAGTGCGCATGATTTGACAGTAAAACACTGCAGATATAAACATGCTGTACAGTAATTCTGCATAGGCTATGACACAGGGGATACCACCCTTAAATTGTTAAAACTCTACACAACTGTAATTTACTGGCTTGAAAGTCGTTCGTTGCGGTGAGAGCTTAGCGAAGTTAGCATATGAGAGCTCTTTAGTAAACTTTATATGTAAAATGTGGCGTCTGCTCTTGCTCGAAAGACTGAAGACACCTCGACTGTGCATGTAAAGTGATCCCCACCCTGGTTTGACTTTTAAGTCAAGTGACCCTGCTTGGCTTTTGGCTTTTGGCTTTTGGTACTCAGCACTCTACCTAGACTGAGTAGCTTCCCAAGCCCATGCGACGGAAGAGGGCCCGCATCTGCTTCAGGTCCGCCACGCTCAGCATGGGGAAGCCCGCTCGGAAGGAGTCGTTGGAGGGGGCTCCGGTGATGGCCGCCACGATGCCCAGCACCTGTGGGGTGTGGGGTGCGGGGTGTGGGGTGTACGGTTTAGGGTGCATAAATGCATAATTGCATAAACTGATAACTGCATAAATGAGACAGGGCAGAGTACAGCAATCACATGCCATAGCGCGTCACAGGAGCAGGAAAGCACCCACTTACCTCATCACCCAGCAGCCCCACCTTCGCGGCGAGGTCCGAGAGTTCTGCCTACACCAGGGTAAGAGGGGGGAAAAGGGGAGGTTTACACACACGTGCATAGAAGAGGGGGGTTAATACACACGTGCAAAGGAAAAAGGGGAGTACAGGGAAAAGGGGATAATCCCACCGTACCTGCGTGGGGTCCCCCCCGTCCTCCGCCACCTCGTCCCCTCCCATGAGCTCTGCGATGAACACCTTCGCGGCCTGCTGCATCTCCACGGAGGCACCCGCCACCCTGCTGGCAGAACCTGCAGGGGGGGGTAGGGGTAGGGGTAGGGGTAGGGGTAGGGGTAGGGGTAGGGTGGTAGGGGTGGGGGTAGGGGTGTGGAAGGTGTGGGATACGCAGTGTGTGTGTGGTGGGGGGTTGTTTGGAGGGAAGGGGGGTAGAAACGGGTGTGTACGGATGTGTGGGTTAGTGTGTTCGATATGTCGATCCATGTATGTGTTGAGTGCTTGTGAGTGTATGTTTGTGTGTATATGTGTGCGTGTATGTGTTTGGTGGATGAGGGGTGTGCAATAGAGGAAAATGCAGAGAGGTGAGATGAAGACACTGAGAGGCAGCGTACAGCCTACAACGGCGTGCATGTGCCTTCGCGCACCAGTGTATACAGTGCACTCTAGTGTATAGAGCATAGTGTATAGAGCATAGTGTATAGAGCATAGTGTATAGAGTATAGAGTATAGAGTATAGAGTATAGAGTATAGAGTATAGAGTATAGAGTATAGAGTATAGAGTATACAGTGCACTCTATACCCTATACCCTATACCCTATACCCTATACCCTATACCCTATACTCTATACTCTATACTCTATACTCTATACTCTATACTCTATACACTTTACACTATGCTCTATACACTATGCTCTATACACTATGCTCTATACACTATGCTCTATACACTATGCTCTATACACTATGCTCTATACTCTATGCTCTATACTCTATGCTCTATACACTTTACACTATGCTCTATACACTATGCTCTATACTATATATTCCTCATACTCTGTACTCTATACTCACCCCCCTCTGCCGCCGTTTTCACCGCCCCCAGCCGCTCCTGCTCGTCGTAGTACCACAGCGTCAGGGCGTGCCTCTGCCCGAAAGTGGGCAGTACCTCGTGGGCGATGTCAGCACTGGTTCGTTACAGAATTAATATATGGCGTGGTGGTGAAATATTAATATACATAAATGGGGATAGTAAATGTATATAGTACATATGTAAGGGTACATAATTAAGGGGGGAAACACAGCTAAGAAAGGTAGAAAGAGTTGGGTAAAAACCCATAGAGGGTAATACCTGTAGAACATTGCCAGCCGCCCGCCCTCTGGAAACACGTCGACTGCCAGGGGGTTCACTGTGGGGGAGGCGCCTGTGCCAGTGGTGTGTTTTGCGGCGGCGGCGTCAGTGGCACTGAGTGGAGGTGAGGGCAGTGTCAGTCAAGTGTCGTTTTCGTCTCCCCCTTTCTCCTCCCTCCTCAACTACCCCCC